AAACCCCAAAACCCCAAAACCCCATTGGAAATTATTTAGAATATTTTAGATTTATTTTATCTTAATGATATAAATTCATATTTTATCTATTTTATAGATATAGTAAATTCAAAGCTATTATGAGTTAATCTCCCTTTCAATTTTCTTTAGTCTTCTTTGCTCGTTGATAATTTAATCAATAAGCTTATGTTTAACTTCTTAAGTTAATGTATCTTTATTTTAAGCTAAGAATTCCTTTACAATATTTAATGATTTAACTTCGCTAAGATACTTTTAATATTGGAATTCTTCTTTATTTTTCTTTATGTCAACTAATTCCTGAGTCTAGTAGGTTTTATTACTCTTCCTTAATCCCTCCATCCATTCATAGTAAGGATGATCGAAGGGAGAAGTTGTATGACCATAGCCATGATTAATTTCATTTGCATCTCTATTTCTTATTGCCCTATTTTCCTTTTTTGTTTTATTGAAGGGCCCTAGAGACATCGGCTCCATTCTATTAGAGCTATTAAGCATCTTATTAAGATTTTCTGGAGGAATGTGCCCTCTACCATTGCTTATAGTTGTATTTTTCCTCTAACCTCCTAAACTTGATTTGGTCCTTTTGCAAAGTTTATTCTTTATAAAATCACTTTATATTAGATCCATACGATCCTGTATCATTTAAACTTCTTAGTTTCTATAGAGTATTCTATCTTCGTTCTCATTGTTTAGGAGATTGCTAAGTTGCTAATAAAGTATCTATTCGTTATTGCTATGAGTATTCTTCTTAAATATCAATGTCTTATTTAGTCTTTAGTTTAGTCTTTGTGAAACTTATTCACTCACTAGAGCTTCATTTCTATAGGGGTTTCTAGAAGGATTATTAATAATACTATTTTATGTATAAAAGCTTTTAAGGGCACTTTCAGTATGTTTACTTTGACTTTTACCCCTCTATCTCTTATTGATTAACTATCTAGGCTGAATCTTATCAATTAAAGATAAATCTTATTTGTCCATCTATTCCACAATAGACATTTATGTTTATTTTTCCTTAAGTTCTTAATAAGCTTGTTAATAACTAATTGAATAGTTTTCATTCTAAGACTGAGTATTTAAAGGTATTTTACGATTTCTATCTCTACTATTGGCTATCGAACTACCTCCTTTAGGATTGTGCAATTATTATAATAGATTTAACCCTTTTTTACTTCTACCTGCATTAATAGCTGTACTTTAAGAAGTTTAAGGTCGACTCTAAAGACTAAAATTCTCATCAGTTTGATAATATTGATACATCATATTATTTTTGACTTATGCTTATAATGTGTCTTGCTCGGTGTATGCATTCATTAATGAGTGCTATTCTAAATCCATTTCACCTCTTACTCCAAATAAAGGGATTTGATTTGAAGAAATGATTGGTCTTTCCTGCTAAGATGATTTTGCTCTTTAATAATGCTATTACTTTATTTAAGATGGAAATGTGTCATTTTTAGCTAAATATTTAGGCATCTCAGTAGTATATGGTGCGTAGATTTTATTATTGAGGATTGATTTCTAAAGTATAATGTTTTCTTTGGAATTAGTAAACTTTGTTCTGGTTTCAGAACTTGAGTTCAATCTCCTGCTTTTATCAAAATAATCTTATAGATTCTTGTCGTTATGAAGATTTTAGTCTTGATTGTAATTTATATTCTTTCTAAAAGTACTCTTTTCTTGGGAGATCTAGTGGGATGTTGGAAATAATGAATAGTTCATTGAATATTCATCAATTGCCTCTATTCCATTTTTCATGTTATTTCTATCCTTAGTCTAAGTTTAGGGTCTATTCGACATTTATGTTTGATAAAGTGAGGGTCTTTACAAAATAGGAATGTTACTTAATATAGAAGGGGTTTCGTTATCAAATGTTTTATTTTATTAGAATTGCTCAAATTCATCTTCATTCTACTCATATTCATTGCTCTATTCTGTAATCTAAGCTTTATTCTAATCAAAAAAAGCATTAGCTTGATGATTTTATTTTTAATTCTAAGTAGATATGTTATTCTTTTTTGCTGATGATTTTACTTAAACTTTCTCAACAGCTTATTTGACATTTTCAAATGATTTTTTTATTCCCATCATTCCATCATGTTTGAACTTTTTAGTTACTAGCTCACTAAACATGCTTTAATTTGTATGTGCTATTTAAACGTGTTGGGTTGGTAATATCTCTGAGTTATCTTCATTATTATGAATACTAATGCTTTCTAAAGAATCTTCATCCATCTAAAGGAGTGGTTGATTCTAAAGTGCTAGAGTATTATTGAATGATTTATTAATTGAAAGTGCGATTTTTCTAGACCTTGAATTAGATATGCCTTCCCTAGCTTTGCTAATAGATTTATTCTATTCTCTGTTATTAGGTATTTCCTTCACAAGTTTCTTAGAAATTTAATCATCTACAGCCATTTTTTGATTGGTAATTTTTATTCCTTATGTTATCTCATAATTATTCTTAATAGCTGTATTCAGAGATATTACACTAATAGGTTATATTTAAAAGTTTTTGTTTTTCTAATTTTATGTTGATCCCCCAGCCAGAATATTTGGAATGTTCTGATTGAGGTTATTATTGGCAGGAGCGACATTATATTCCTTCTTAATGGCTTCATTTAATTCCATTTTATCTTTATTAGTTTAATGATAATTCAAGCAGAAGCAATTATGATTATATAATTATCAAAAGTTAGAAGAATTGATTAATTAAGTTTTGTTATTTAGATTATATAAACTTAAACTCTTTTAAAACTTTAAAAGTTTTAATTTTACAAAGTAATTATAATATTGCAAGAAAATTATATACAGATATAAAAAATGTCAAATAAGATGATTGATCATTACGACACAGATAGCACATATGATTTCAAGAATGTGCAAAATGACTAGCAGGAGAGAGGAGCAGCTAATAATGACTTAGATTTTAACTCATTTTACTAGAGGAAGTTTGAGTAGAGTAATGCAGGTAACCCAATGCTGGTGCACAGCGGAAATGAAAAGTAATTGTTCACAAATATGATCGTAAATATATTTGTGCCTGTCGACCCCACACTTATTAACTCTCAATTCAATTTAAATGATACTCTGGACGATGAGCCAGAGAAATTAGAGCGTTTGCAGTACTTTGTAAGTTCATCATTTCGCCTCGGACATGAAAGGACCCTGTCTATTTCATGTCTAATTAGTCTACCATATTTAAAGAGGATAGTCCAATTTATTAATTAATATTAGTGCGAAGTGCCAGATTACACCACAGCAGAAGTACTTCTTTTAAAATCTATTGACAATTTTAACAGTCAGCTGAGCTAAAAGAATAGTGCTATACAGCTTGTCAATGATTTAAGTAAATTCTCATTGAGAATTGGGAAAAAGAAAAACGGGAAACCCAACTCTGATTACCCTAGTAAGTGTTTATCAGATTTGCTAAAGAGAGAATCATAACTTATCTTTTACTTTTAAATTGATTTATTTCAGTGGATATACCCACAAAATATTTGATTATAATAATGAAATTCTTAACATATGACTACAGAAGTTGATCTTTCACAGAACATTGTAGATGTAGACTTTACCAACTTTTGCGTAGTATATACTTGGGAAGGTGTTGTCAACCAACTCATTACTAGCACTCAAAGCAACTTATTAAGAGTATAAAAAGGAGGAATTACAAAGAGTAAGAATATTAAAGATTTATAAATTGGCTAGATGAATCAAGTGCCTATGAAAAAATGAGTTTGATGAACAGTTCATACAACTAAACTCTGGCTACTGAGGCAGCTGATAGCAGATAGACTTAGAAAGGCATTCTAGCTAACTAGCATCAGAATTAGCAAGCATGCTGCAACTGCAATATATTCTGAGGATGCTTCATTCACTTGTCAATGAAGTAGCATTATTATTGATGATAGGACGATTATGAGAGGGAGAGCCGTAAGCTGAAGTTTGTATACAATAGTAGTAGTAAATAAAAATCTTCTTTCAATGAGCGTTTCACCAGATGCAATGGCTTTTCCTCAAAATGTGGCCTCTCTGTTATTGTTATAGATTGGTTTACGTTTTCATATCTTAATATTTTAATCCTTATTTCGAGATTCTTTGATAATCACTTTAATCATAATAAGGGGTTTTGGGGTTTTGGGGTTTTGGGGTTTTGGGGTTTTGGGGTTTTGGG